TGGAGTTGTAAAGACCAGAAAGCATTACTAAGATCAACATTTTGAATTAAGCTGTGGATCTGGGAGGCAGTTTTAAAGTCTGTTCCCATGGCTGAGCAAAATTCCTGCAGCATGGGTGTCATGCTGTAGAGCTGGAGCATATTTGCTGGGACTGTGGATAGCCAGAAGTCTTGCTGTTTAGTGAGATGACTGTTTTTTCTCAGCTTGACAAATGACATGCAGAACTGACAGAATACTTCTCCTTTGCTGGCCATCACCCCTACGGACACTGGCCAGAACAGCAGCAGCAGGAACATACCCTCCAACTCTGATTTAATCACATGGAGCCCAGGAGACTAGTGAATAGAGCTGTTAACTCTCTGTTTGGTTTGCTTTTCCCATCTGTGTTTGATTAAACTGAGAGCAAGATTTATTCACTTTTTTAACATCAAGAGCTGTTGGTGTCCAAGATGATGGTTGATGTTAAGGTATACATACACAGTTTAACCTGGCTGAGGGCCAAAGAGGCCTATGATTTCCAGCCTAGACAATTTATTTGCAGAAGGACACAAAATCCCTCTGCTCTCAGACATTTCTGAAAGGATGAGCACAACTGCTTCCCGCTCTCCCAGGAACACAATACATAAAGAACACAGTAAAACAGTAGGCTCTCCGGGATGAGCCAGGCTCTCCAGGCATGCAGGCAAACACTTCAGTTTTACTTTACTCCTGACAGCCCCTACATAGTCACAACTACCAGCGATTCTCTGATTTCCACTCCAGGAATCTTAAATAGATTGGAGATACCAGCTCAGTGTATAAATATTTCTTCTAAAAGCCAAGAATCCTGAATGGCTCAGCTGGGGAATTGCACTTTATGGGAACTGAAATTGCGTGCCAGGCTCTCTGCTGTAAGGTGGGATAGCTGAAGCACAGACACTTGCATGCCTAATGAGCTACCGCGGGAGTAACACTAGCTTCTAGAGGAGAAAAGGAATGAAAAGATGGGATTTTTGAATTGCTTCAAAAAGATAAACTTTTCCTCAAACAATAGGGTCAACTCCAGATAGAAAGATCAAGTGTGCGTTTTGCAGAGCTCTAAAGAGGTTTCTTTTAAATACTTAAGTTTCAAGCAATAACAAAGCTCCCAAAATCCAGAGCTTCACTGCAAACAGCCTCCAACATTCTTGACACTTTTCCAAAACTTCTGGGCATTTTCTTCTCAACAACAAGCTCCTTTCCAACACGTACCACTCTCCCCCTCCTCTCTTAATCACCACTCATCCCATCAAAACTTAACGTCGTGACATCCACTTTCTCTATTGCCTTGCTACTATCCCTGCAAGTACACTGTGGATCATCAGGCCTGCCAGATTTGGTGTTATCTACAAAAACTGCGTTCTGCTCTTTCTAGGCAAATGCCTTCATAACATCCCATGAATATCATATTGACTGTGGCACCTACACAGAGCATCATCATATTACAGTCATTCTTGTAGTACTAAGCTTCATGGTACCCCCACACGGCAATAAAAAGTATTCTGAACACAGGACAGAATTGTTAGTTCAGTAGAGCTTAGAAAATAAACTGCATCTCTCAAAGCTTATTCAAAGCCCACCACTGGTTTGCTCAAAACAGTATTTCTATCAATCACTCACGTATCCATCGTCCCCTGAAACTTTAATACAGGCTGCAGAATCTGGTTCCATGCGTGACAGTTCCTGTTCTGAATTGGCTTTCAATGTCAAACAAAAAAAAGCAGTGAGTTTTGGTACTGTTTCATTCAAGAAGAATGGTCTTTTTTCCATCCTCGTTCACATTTTTATCATCTGTGAGATGACAGTAGGAGCTGTGCATGAGCCAGTACAAATTAAGCTGTATTCATGGGCTTTCTCTTTTATAGCTTTTAAGAATACTGGCAGAAAATGATGGAATCTGAAAGTTTCTAACGAAAAAAGAATTTTAATTGTATGCGGTGTTAACTCAAAGTGAGGGACTTGGTCACAGTACTGAGCTGTATCCTTCAGACCCAATGCTGTTTATGCATTTTATTCCATACATCAAAAGCAGACTGTATGTGACTGATTCCTATAGCAGGCAGCAGACCCCGGGAGAGAAACCTAATCCCCAAGCACTGTGTTAAAAGCTGCAGAATTTACGTTTTTGAATGAAAACCTGTGCCTGGAGTGTTCTGCACTGAACTAAATTCTCCACTGTGTTAGCTATGCCTATAGCTACAGTTCCTCAGACCCCCATTTCCCCTTTGGGGAATACAGGTACAAGGCAGCCTGTTACAGCAATACCACAGGAAACTTGATTTAGGCATGCGAAAGGTGTCGGGGTGACCCATGCCACTGAGAAAGGTACCTGTTGTCATGCGGCGTGGCACACCTGGCCGATGCTTAAATACTTTTCACTTCAGTGGTGAGAATACCGGGCTGCTCAGGTTTCTAAGGTGAGCTGAGTCACTGCTGCAGGCGCCTTACACTCCTCTAGAGGGGTAGGTGCCAAAGTTGTTTGTTGGTGGTGGTTTGTTCTTTTTTAAATTCTTAATTTTTTGTTGGGTTCTGCTTAGAGACCACAAAACTCCCTGTCTTGATGGCCTCCGGATCACCAGTAGCGCAGCTAGCATTGCTTGAATACCAGTGCAAAGTTTATCTTCCTGTCGGTATGACGACAGAAAGCAGTCCAAATCCTGGTGCTTGGTACAGGGATTTTGATCATACACAGAAAAACGATCTTGTTTAGCCAAAAATACTATATAAGTACTGTCGTGCAAAAATGGCTTCTTTTTCCTCCAAGCTACCCCTATTTACAGAAGATTATTTAGAAGTCATAGAAACTGCAAAGAAGGCCTCACGCCGAAGGTCGTTTCATTGGCTATTTAGACAAATTCTAAAGCAGCCCAAGTAGAATAAATACAGAAGCGTCTGTAAAAATGATACTACAGAAGAGAAACCTGGTTAAGTATCATCCCATCCAATTGCTTATATTTAAAATACTTAGTCCAAGATTAGTGAAAATGAATCCCCCTGAAGAATCAAATTACTTGCTAAAAGAACTATCAAATTACTATTTGTATAACCATTAAAATATTAGGATAGACTCAATTTGCCTTTTCATGCAGTGTACTTTATTTATAAGTCTTTTGTTAATTTGGGTATGAGTTCGGCTTTGTTCGTAATGAACTGACGTTTTCAGTCATGTCACGTCACTGCCTGTAGGTGTAATAATCCCACGTTAATTCCTTCTTCAGACTTTCAGCAATGAATACACTAGATCTGGGGTTGGGTTTTATTCTGTTTTTTACCAAATATTCTTTGCAACTACAGGTGTTTAATTAAAGGCCGTTAGACAATTTAAACTTCTCAGAAGAATACAAATAAAAGCTGTTAATGAAGTAAATATCTGTTTAATTTACAAACATCAGTAGCATTACTGATATCAGTCCAAATAAGACAAAGCACACTGCATTACACATGTACATCTAACTTTTTTTGTAAAAAAAATAATAAAATAAAATTGAAAAACATCTGCATTTTTACAGGGTACCCTGGGTTTTACTGAAAGAAGAACACAACCCACTATTGATTACCAATTCTACATTATAATTTAGCAGCAACATGTTAACATGGGGAACATTAGGGCAGAAAAGTAGTTTTATTATTTGGGGAAAGTCACAGTTCTTGATAGCACAGCCTTTTTTTCTTTTTTATAAAAAAGGTAAAGAGCTCCATGGGAATATTAATTTATAAAGATCTACCTTCTAATGTCATTTTCTACACGCCATCTTATTTTCTGTAAGTATTGTATATAGGGAAAATTAACTTCTCTACAATTGCCACCTAGTGTAAAGACATTTTCTGTCATACATTACAGGTTCTTGGAAGGTGTCCTGGATATCTGCTGTATGTGAAAACTGCAGATTGTCATCACTTTCAGATTCAGTGACACCAAGTGGTCAGATTCTAAGGAAAAGCAAAAGGAAGGGGGAAGGGGAGGAAAAAACAGACCGAAGACATTTACCCCAAGACGACATGCTACGTTAGTTCTATTGCAAAAAATCCTGATTTTTAAGTCCTTTTAAAAAAAATAAAAAAAATTACAAAAATACTGGGACAAATATAAATTAATATATATTAAAGCATTGAAAAACAGTAAAAGGGATGGCCTAAAAGGGTTAAGTACAATGTACTTTGATACAATAAATATTTCTCAATGAAACCGAATACTGTATAGAGTTGTTTAGAACTCATAGAAACAGAAATCCATATTATTACTAATTTATCCATCAATAATCTATTTTTATCATCCCCAAAACATTTATATTACAAAAAATTAATACTGGAAAAGGGCAGATAAACACTTTTTTATGCTTCTTTTGCTAACATGCTGACATAAAAGTATACATCATCAGGAGATTTCAGGATTATAGTATATTCTTGTATCTCCCATTTCCCATTCATTAAATGGGACTCCATCTTCTCAAGATGCTTAATAATTCCAAAAGATAAAATGTATTTCATACAATTGTTATCTCTGTATAATCTGATTCTTTTCACTCGCAATGCTTCCTCATCCATAAGTAAGTGATTGGTACGGTCTGCCAAGACAATAAAATATACTGATACGAAAGTGAAAAAACAAGCCTCATGTTCTGGTCAATATTTCATCTCTGAGCTGTTAAGTTGAAAGTCACGTGTGTATAGTGTCAGTGTATCTTCAGCATGTTATAAAGAAGAATCCATGTTAAAAGCAGTTAAAGTTTCCCATCTCTGTTGCAATGTTACCAGGTCTTTTTTTTTTTTTTTTCTTCAAAGCTCCTCTTGGTTATGAGAAGTCTCAGTTCAAGCACTTGAATCTTTTTTCAAATGAAGAAAAAGTCTTTATTCTCATAATAAAAATAAGTCTGTTCTGTATTTTACAATATATTTCAAATATTTCCACTATGAAGCATTAATTAGTCCGACACGGTCAATAAGTATACAACATTTTCAAAAGACAAGTGTGACAGGGACACTTAGGAGGGACAATTTGTACAGCCACACTTCACCACTTTTTCAACCTCGTCCACAAATGATGACCCGTCAGTGCATTCAAAAGAGTATTTCCGTCTCTTGCTCCTCAGTGGTCCACAGCACTGCCCGGTTGAACATCCTCCTTTACATTCTAGTCTCGATACCTTCTTGGTCGTCTGGCACGCAGCATACCCTTGCTGCTTTTGGTAGTAATCTCGGATTCGTTCCCCTCGACAAGAGATTTCTGTAGAAAACAACATTTAAAATAAGAGAGACACTTTTGAGATGCAGGTCAAAGAATGGTTGGCGTTGCTAAGGAAGATGCCGTGTTTCTAATTGGAGTTGGGATCGATATTTTAGTTTGACTCAGACTGTACATTGGAAACTAGTGGTTCTACCAAAAGTAATTTGATTAATGCTGAGTTTTATTTCCTATACCTCCTATTTTCAGTAAAGTTTATACTATGTATATTTAAACCATAAATACAAAGCTATTACAATGACAAGAAAATTGGAAGCTTAAATCTTTTCCTCTTTTATAAAAATACACATCTTCTGTTCCTACGTTGCTTGCAGCTGGTTCTATTTACCATAGGGAAATGTTTCAGAGAGCATGCAATTTAATTTATTAGACCTGGAGTTCAATATTATTCAAACTGTTATTTAATACAAGTTACATTCCACTAACTTCATAAATTACTGAGGTATAAAACCAGCTAAAAATGAGACATCTGTTAAAAGTTCTACAACCATATTCTTCTATTCT